TCAGATTGTTAATAAGTTGCCCACTTGTCATTACAAACGGAGTATAGATTAGTCCATTGTTGAGTTTCGATTTCAATATGCATTATACGATCATGGTGCTTGGGATTATATGCGATATTGATGTCTGACTTGGTATCACAGTAGAGTCTCATATGACTTTATCATTCAATATATAAGGTGTTTAGGATAATTTTTAGGCATAGGAATTTGTAGATTCTCACACCATATATTAAATTCAGCTTATGCATTAAATCTTGATATCATGCTTATTTTTTAAATCTCCAAGTCATGAGATTTTTTTTATAGAAATGTGATATCTTGAAATTGATCTCCAATTAATCATACAACCTATAGAATTTGTATCTGTTTATGCTTAGAGAGTCAAATCCTCTCCTTTTTTGAATAAAATTTCTATGCATGAGGTTACCTTCACATATTGTAGAATTCTATATGATTCCCTAATGTGTGATTCTTTACGATTATGTATGAATTGATTCATTACATTAATAATGTACGCAATGTCAGGTCTACTACATGATAAGTAGACAAGTCTTGACAATAAGAGTTTTTTTTCCTACTATTTTGTCTTTTGGACCATCACGAAATTTATTACTAAATTTCATGGGTCTCTTCACTTGTTTGGATCCTAACTTACCCTATTTCTTTCAACAAGTCTATTATTTATTTTTGTTTTAATATAAATATTTCATGTGGAGAGGTGCAACTTCAATGCCAAGTACTTTAACTCGCCTACTTTTGACTTTAAATTACTGGAGCAATCTTTTCTTCAAATTGTCTAAAGCTTCCAAGTACTATTTGTCATGATAATATTGTCAAAATAAGTTTGTAGTATGGAGACTCCCTATAAAGTTGTGTGTTTTACAAAGAATAAATATTCTTTTTAATTTTATTTGTATCTCATGTTGAGCATTGCCTTTGCTAACTTGGGCTACAAATGAGCAGAGCTAAGCGGCGTTGAGCCGAGCATGCACATGTTCTTGTTTGAGCTCGTTTATTATCAACTTGTTTGAGCTTGATTCAAGTTTTTTTATTTATTTTCAAACTTTATTTAAAATGGTTGATATTCATGTTTTATTTGTGTTCGGTTTATGTTTGGTTTGTATCGTGCTTAACTAGTTTTAAACGATTGGTTTGTCTAAAATAATATATGAGCTTTATTGAGCTATCAATGAGTTTTACATTCAAGATATTTGTTAGCTTAATAGATGAATCTTATTGAGTCTACTAACGAACAATTATATTGAGCCTTATCGAGTTTGTTAGCAAACATATCTATCGAGCTTTCTTGAGCTCTTAAACGAGTTAGCTTATCAAGCTTTCTTAAGCCCATAAACGAGTAGCTTTTCGACCTTAGAAAATGATACTTGTAATGAACAAGCTTCTTAACAAATACTCAGAACAAACAATCTATCAAACATGAACAAGTACTTCTTGATCACGAACAAATTCAATCTAATGATTAATGAAAGAATATAACATAACTAATGAATTTATGTTGTTTTATAAAATAAAAAACATTATTACAATAAATTGCAAATAACTAAAATACTAAGTTGATGTGAAGTACCAAAGATTCAAATAATTAAATAACTATTAAAATAATAAAAAAACAACCAATTAATTCAAAATGACAAACATAATAATTAATGCTATAATGTTTAGTAGATATTTATAATTTGTTCTAATTAATAGATGTTGTAATGTTTAATTAGTTTTAAAAAGTATCAATCAATGATTAATATGTTATTAAATTATAATAAAAATAAAACATTTATATTAGGTTCATCATTTTCATAACGAGACTTAATCGAGCTCCATATCAAATATTAATTGAATTTCTTAAAGTACTTGTTCATGAGCTCTGTGCCGAACAATAATTGAGCTTTTTAAGGAGCTTTATATCAAGCTAGTTCACGAGTTTTAAATGAGATTGTTCATGAACATAAGCAAATCAAATAAAAAGTTGTTTATTTAATCATCGAGTATTTTAAAAAAAAATTCTAGCTTGTTTGATTACTTAATCAAATGATTACGAATTAGCTATAATCTAGTTGAGCCATGAGTAGCTTGTCAAACCCTCAATTTGTTTGCAGCCCTATTGCTAAACTTCTGAATCACGTCATTGGAGATTCCTTCAACCTATATAATGCTTTTTTTAACTTGCATGCTTTTTGTTCTGTATTTAAGCAAAATTTTGATGGGGCCTCCAAATATTCTCTCTCCTCCATTTCACTATATAAGAAGTTATTTTCACATCAAATTGTTGCATCTTCTAGTCCTTGTTAGCTGCTAAATATAAAAGAATTCTAATAGTATTTATTTTAGCAATTGGACCAAATATTTTATGATAATCAATCCCATATATTTGAGTTTAGCCTTTGACCACTAGCTTGGCTGCATATCTTTCTAGTGAACAATCATATTTGTATTTTACAATAAAGGCCCATTTATATCCCACAAAAATTTTTTTTTTTCATTTTAATAATTTTCGTAATTCTCATGCTTTGTTTTTTTTTGAAGGGTTTCCATTCCTTCTCTTATAACATTATTCTAATTTATATTATGTAAAGTCTTTTAGACATTTTTTAAGGATATAAATAATATGCATGCTAGTAAGAAAGGATTGTTGGCTATAAGAAAGATTATTGTATGATAAAATTAAATGCAAGGGATATTTAATGAAAGTTTTTGTACTTTTATTTTTAGGCTTGATGGCTCCCTTAGCAGATTTAGTGATAGAGATTAATTCGATTGATTGGACTGACATAGATAGAAATGCCTTTCTTATTGAGTAAATCTATAATGGTTGAGTATGAAGTTATTTTGGTATAGGCTTATTTTGGGTAGGAGTGACTGGTTGTCTAATACAATTGTTTGCTAGGATGAGGGGCAAAGAAGGGCAATTTAGGAGAAAAAAATGATTATGATATTTCTTCCTCAGGGTAAGTAGTGACTTTTTTCGTTGAAAGTTTCATCAACAAACACATTCCTTTCTCGTTGGGGGATGGTAGCATTTTCACCTTTTTTGTGTGGAAAAATAAAATCGCATTTAATTGTTTAAGGATCAAGTTTTCTTTTGTTTGGGAAATGTGTATAGAAAAAGGCAATTCTTTTAATATTTTGACAACAGCATTGTTTGGTGTGTTGAAATGAGGATAAAATTTGTATAGTATTTGCATATGACTTTTGAACCTAATGACCTTTATAGTTAATCTGTTTATGATGTCGGTGGTTGTTAAAAGAGCTTCCCTCAATATTGTTTTGGGATATTTTTTGAAGAGTTTGGGCTATTGTGTAGCAAATAGGTGGTCATTCTTTGATTTAACCACTTTGTTTTGTTGGGGTGTTATTTTTTTCTTTGTATGGGGAGAGAACTGTTAAATTAGTGTTTAACATTGTTATATTTAACTCTTTTAATTTTAACACCAAATTGATTTTTGATCATGTTGAAGAAGGCATAAAAGATGGTATTTACATCACTTTTGGCTTTTAGTTAAATGATCCATGGCACACGGATGCAATCATCAATAAAATACATGAACTGCTGAGTCCTAGAGATGTTAAGTGTAGAGAATGATCTCTAAATGCCACTATGCATGAGAGAAAAAGGAATAAATTATTGTGTCAATCATTAAAAAATTGGCATGCAACTTTTTTTTTTTTTAAATTTCGTAAGCATCATAATGAAATTCTCTGCTATTTATTTATTTTTAATAATGGTGGAAATATGATTTTGAGAATAATTAATGCCAAGATTTAGGTGATATGGTACAAAATTTCTTTATTGGATATGAGGGTTTTTGAGAGAGGAGATAATATTGCAAGTTGTATGGAGTTTTCTTAATTAATAAATTCCTCAAGTTGGTTGAGACCATCCTTTTCTTTATCAAGCTAATTATTACATAAAGCACAATACTACACTTGGAATCTTCAGCTTGCTTTTGAATAAATTCCTGGTTGGCAACTAATTTTGGTACATGGATGATATTTTAGAGTGTGGGTGATTTGTTTATAAGAATATCTCCTTCATTGGTTATGCTGTTCAAGCATCCACTGGCCATGTTTATTTTTTTAGTTGCCAGAAAAATGTTCAAGCATCCAAAAAAGGAGGACAACAGGTATTTTTGTTTTAGATTGATGCTTATCCCGTGCGTTACATGCTAAGATGTTGGTGCCGTGTGGGTTCATCAGGCAAAATGTTCTCTTTCTTTCTACATTTTGATGATATAATGCGTTTCAAACAAATATTCCGTTCCCATTTGCGCTTGATCTTCTTTTGCTTCTTTGTGTTAATAAAGGTCATCCTTGGTCATCTTTTTTTTTATGGTTCCTTTCCTAGCTTTAGCACACCATGAAAAAGTCCCCAAGTAAGATGGTGGAGAATGAATGTTCTTAGTTCATATCTTGTACAGCTTGATTTGGAACACATTCAAAGTTTTGTTGGCTTATCTTTTTGAGAAAAATTTCCGTAAGATTCACTATGTTGACTTGACCATTAGGGGCCTCTTCAAATTGTTGAACTTTTTGCCATATGTTGCTTAGCTTGATCTAGGAGTGTGTTTTGAGGTTTTTTTTACTGCTTCTGTGCGGGAATCTCTTCTCAAGCTCATCATAAGGTTTGTGCGGGAATCTCTTCTCAAGCTCATCATTAGTAGTTATGATCTGAAACACCAATTCAGTGTTGTATTCATGGAGGCAATCTGGAATCTCATGAGTTTCCACGGCATAGTGTTTTTATAGCCTTTCTTCTTCATCAAAGTCGTGCTCCTATGGTGTATTTTTTCTTGTTTAACGAAGAAACTATTTCTTGTTAAACTGAAATAGTTCTATGCATGTTGTTTACATCTCTTGAAGATAGTATTTTGCCTCCAGCAAATAAGAATCGTTTGTAAAGAAGCATCTGAGTTTTGTGATGTTTCTAGAGTGTTTGACAGTTCAGATTAACCGTTCATCTTAATTAAGTCCCATCAAATTTTCAGGAGCAAGGATTGATTCTTCGGCGTCCCCTCAGAGCAGCGAAGTAATGGCTCCATTCTTCTGCATTAACATGGATTTAAATTACTATATTCTTGAAGTTTCATAGTTCGTCTTGGTACTTAAACATTTCTTTTCATGGTTGCAGCGGCAATTCACTGGTAGAGTTTCCTCTACCTCCCATAGTCTTTTCTCTCCATCTCCCTTTGCAGAATCCAGTAGATGGGCATCCTCAGGCAAACAGCCTGCCTTTCCTCCTCGAAATTTTCCAGGAAGGCGCTCGTTCATGTCGACACCTGTTTATCCTCTAGTCTTCCACAATCCTGTTTCGGATGGCGAATCGAGTGGGATTGCCGGCACAAGTTCAAGCCGCAGGATGATTCCTAGTGATCATTCCAGAAACTCTCCTCCATGGCCTGAGAGCACTTTTAACCCTGATCTCAAGTTTCATAAAACTCTGTCAGATTTCCAGAAGGTTGGAGTTTCTCCCGACACCGATACAAACTCAAGGAGGGAAGGAACTAGATGGAGTGATGGAAGTAGCTACGACATTGCTTTTGATGGGGATGCCATTGACATTGCTGAGAACATCAATATTGAGAACCCAAGATCTCCAAACACTTCTGTTAGGCACCAGAAGTGCGGGCTCTGCTACCGGTTTCTATGGCTAAAATCTCCATGGAGTTCACACCGAATCATTAAAAACAGTGACCTGCCAATCACTGGAGTTCTTCCCTGTGGTCATGTCTTCCATGCCGACTGCTTAGAGGAGACGACTCCAAAGACTCAGCTTCAAGAACCTCCGTGCCCACTATGTTTGAATTTGGTAAGCCATGAAGGGTCCTCTTCTTTATCCGAGCCTCTGCAGGTAGCTTTTAAAAATCCTCGCAGAATTATGCGATCCGGTACTGTTGGAAGCAGTAGCAACCGAAATGATATTGATCTGAGGCGAAACCTTTCTCAGCCATTGAGGGGAAGTTCTTCAATAAGAAGCCGTCTCAGGAAACGGTTATCATTCAAAGGTAAGTTTAACAGAGATCTTTTTGGAGCAAAAATATTCAGGAAGATCTGATCATCTTTATAACAATCAGAACCAAAGCGTCCGTTTGTAATTGCTGCAGTAACTTTCATTGTTTAGGGTTTCTGAGCAAACTTTTATCAGTTCTCTTTTACAGCTTATATTTTGGGGTTTGGCAGCCATGATAGGGTGCCCATGTACAGCATCAGATGTAGAACCGGGAAACCCTTTGGTGTAGGGCAGCAGATTGCTTAAGCTGAAAAGTGCTTAGATTTTCATTGTTAGGGGTCTATTATGCAGATTTGTTTGTATAATATGTTTTGTGTTACATTCCTTCCATTTTGTTTCAGAAACCTGATTAGTTTTCTGTTAGCTATTTTATGCTGTAGTAATGATGCTTTATAATAATTTTAAAAGAACTTTTTTGCTTATTGAAGCAGTAAGAAAAAAGTCGCAAATGAAACCTAAGTTGTATCCGGTGGGCCTTAGCAGATTTTCTGCAACTAGGAATGGAGGCAAGAGCTGTTGAAAGTGTTTTGGCCTGATGAGTATGGTGAGCTTAGTTGATATCTTTCATAGTCAATACAACGAGAAATTATTTTGTGCGGAGGACGGACACAGAACACTATTCGAAGATCAATTAGAATGTATCATATCAGCGATAGCGAGAAGAACCGAGTAGTACTGAGTTGCGGTACTGAGTGAAGGGGTGATGTGCATTCTAGTTGGCCTTCGAATTACGTTCGGCATCCGCACAGAATAATTAATACAAAATAACAGGCTTTTTACTCGAGAAGATAAAAGCCTTCATGAGATTGATTAATTGTGTTTATTTTATCTTGCTCTGTCAACTTTTTTCCTACTTTGAAATGCTTTCTTTTATCTAATAGTCTTCATATTACTCCTTTGTTGGTTCATTCTTTGTAAGTGCAGTATTACATATTTTCTTGATTTCTGGTCGTTTTTTTTTCTTTCTTTTAGAGCTTATTCAATCGCTTTTAAATGAAAAATGTGTTTTACAAATAACTATGTTATATTTTAGGATTTAGTTATATATATAACTTGCAGCCGATCAAAAGTTTAACAAATCAAGCGGATAAATGCACATTAATCTTTATAAACTATTAATAATTGCTCTTCCGTGCTCATCAATAAAGTCTAACAGGAACTTAGAAATAAAACAGATAGAATCATGATAAACAGTTAAATGTCTGCTTTGCTGGAACAATTATTACGTCCTACGACCGGACGTTGTTGGAGGCCAAATCACGCCAAAAAATGAGAAATATCGAGCAATACCAAACAATAACGAGGAATACCATCACGTGAAGACCCAATACCGAGCAATACCAAGTTATACAGAAGTTGTACCGAGTTTTTCCTAGAAAAAATTCGGTACAACTCGGCATTGCTCGGTATAACTCGGTATTTGTGTTCACAGAGCGGTATTTCTCGGTATTATCAAATAATACCTAGCAATATCGAGCAAATACTGAATTTTTTGGCTGGATTTTGCCTCCGACCGAACGTTCCTCTACGTCCTTACACCGGACCTAATAAAAGTTCGCTTTGCTGAGTCTAAACATGCTCTTTCTTCTCTGGATTAATTCAAGGAATGTGGATAAAAAGCCCTCTGGCAAAAATGCTATGTAATGATAAATAGTAAATAAAAAAAAAAGCCAGCCTTCGTACTGTTGGGGGTGTGTTTTAGGTTTCATTTGGAATGACTTTCTTACTATTCCTTAAAGTAGTTTTTTAGTATATAAATTTATAATTTTTATATTAAAATTTTGCTTTAAGACGCATTAAGAAATCTGTTCCGAATAAAATCAAGCGCAAATAAGTTTAAGCTCATAAATCAGATCAAACAACTCATTTCTGATACCTGTTAAGTTAAACAATTTGAAGTCTGTAACTCATCCGGGCATGAGGCTTAGGTTGATTAAAAGATAAATGAGTTGGATAATGAGCTTGACGGCAATAGTTAAATAAATTTAAATTAAAGTGAAATGGAAATTCATAGAATAACTTCAATCATAATTACTTTATAATCATACCTTAATTTTTTTAATTCCAAGTTTAATATAATTTTTCTTAGTTTTTCATGGCCTTAATTTTCAAAATGATTAAGCTTAATGTTTATTAAAACAAATTTAATCTTCATTGTGGAAGTAAGTTTAAGCCCAAAAAAAAAAAAAAAAAATTAAAAAAAAAAAAAAAAAAAAAATTCTCATAATGTAGCCTTATTTTTTCACTTATCAAACGATTTATTTCCACTAAAAAAAGTTCATTATCACCTGACTTATCTTATAATTATTTTAATGATTCCTTACAGAAAATATGAATCTTTATCCTTGCCACAAAACATATCAAATTTCTATAATAATTTAGTATAATAAGCTCATTCTAATTAACTATTTAGATAATATATTTCCTCCTCAGTTTTTGCCTTTTTTGCTTCCTTCCTAGAAGTTGCAAACCAGAAGATAAAAAAATAAAAATAAAAGAATGATATCAGATTTTTCAGCACTGTGACACAAAAAACCATTGGAAACAGAGATTTATACGTTATGGGATGAGAATCCAAGACAAGAAAATTTAAATTTTTAAAAAATATTATCATGTCGGAGTTGAACTGTTTGAGAGATCGTTATTGATATTTTAAAATTTTTGTAAAAAAATTAATCATTTTATTATTTATTAATACAAAAATCGTAAAGAATTTAGATAAAAAAATAAGCTGATCATCAACTTGTTATATCCTTCTTTAAGAAAAGGACAAACAAACTCTGCACTGATTCAATCATAGATCATTTGTAGAGATATTTGTGCTAAAAGTAAAGTATTCAGTTGAGCTTTTATATATACATATAAGTGGTTGTTTATATCATGATTGAATAAAATTGAAGATTGCGGGACAAGTTAAGTTGTGGGGTTTGATATTTTGCCCTGAAATAAATATGTTTCAAATGATGATAACATCGCGTAGATGTTAATTGGATGAACTTATCTCGTCTATTTCTCAATAATATAAGTTTTAAAAAGTTTCATATGATTAAAACTTCATTTGGAATGACTTTCTCATTGCTTTCTAAAGCAACATTTTAGTACAATTCTTTTTTTGAATTTAGAATTTTTGTGCTAAAAAGGAACTTTAAAAAAATAGTGAGAAAGCTATCCCAAACGAAGACTTCAGCTTCATTTGAAATAGCTTTTTGCCACTACTTTTTTGCTACTTTTTAAAGAAATTTTTATACTAAAAAATTACGTCAAAAACAACCATAGGCTTAATTTTGGGATGACTTTCTTATTGCTTCTTAAAGCAATTGAAAAACTACTTTAAGAAGCAGTAAGAAAGCTGCCGCAAACGAAACCCAAGTCATCATAATCATAGTGTTAATGTTTTTTTTATTTGAGATAAAATGAAGCATTATAATATTAGCAAAATTATTGAGATCCACATGAAAGAAAAGCAAAAAAGTTATCATAGCAAACTTTAATTAGGGGTTGAGTCCTATAATTAAATGTTTATTATTAAATTGTGCAAGTTGATTGTGACCATCCACTATAGCTCTTATTTATGAGTAGTGTAGTATGTTTTCTTATTATTATAAGAAATCCTTTCACCTTCATATATAGTTTGTGTTCTCTGTGTGTGCTAGTTATACGTACAACGCTAAGACGTAGAATCAAATCTCTATCGCAGCGTAATTTCTAGCCCGCAACAGAGATAAAATGAAGCATTATAATATTAGCAAAATTATTGAGATCCACATGAAAGAAAAGCAAAAAAGTTATCATAGCAAACTTTAATTAAGGGTTGAGTCCTATGATTAAATGTTTATTATTAAATTGTGCAAGTTGATTGTGACCATCCACTATAGCTCTTATTTATGAGTAGTGTAGTATGTTTTCTTATTATTATAAGAAATCCTTTCACGTTCATACATAGCTTTTGCAGTTTCTACTGAAAAATATTTCCATAACACCTAACATTTTTTATTAACAATATTAACCTTAAAATTAAAAAAAAACTGTTTATTACAAAATATTTACCTGCATAGACTGAATATGCATGAGATTTTAACATATATCCTTATTTCCATAAAACTCTTGTTTCTTGCTCCATTTGATTTTCATAAATATAAATATAAAATATAAAAAAAAACAATTTTCATTTATTTAGTGTCCAAAATTAAATTATTTATTAAAAGATTCGATAAAAAGTACAAAATAATCTACTTTTTTTTTCATAATTTCTAAATCAAAAGCAACACTGACAATTGCAACTTGCAAATTAGTTTATACACATTAATAAAAATAAAAAGAAATATCTTTTATAAATAACAATATAATAACATAATAACATTATCTATCATAATTAAAGTTATCAAAAATCTTTAAATAAAATTTATGCCAAAATAGGCTTTATTGCAAGATCAAATGGAAGCACATGGCACTCACTATCAAGCCTACAATTCAATGAAGCTACCCTCCTTATATAAATGAGCTCCTTCTTCACATATTCAATTAAGTAATTTCATTTTATTAAATAAAATTTTCATGCCATTTTCAAAATATAGAATAATTATTTTTCTTTTTTCATAAATAAATTGAAGAATTTAATTTGTTATAAAAAGAAAAGAAAAAAAAAACGAAATTACATTTCTACCAATGCTTGTTGGGTCTGTGTCATGAAAGGAGAAAGATTGGACACATTATTATCTGATTATGAAATATATAAAAATGTTTTGAGATAGAAAAATGGCAGAGAACATTAGCCATTGTTTTGTTGTATGTAGGAGAGCTCAGAGAGCAACTAAGCCCTATCTTCCTTACAAGTTGGCCATGTGAGACCATGTGAGCCTAAGCTTTTCTTTATTAAGACCTGATGGTCATTGACAGGCGCCAGCTTTCTTTTTATTTTTATTTTTATCTCGGCATATAAATATAAATATTATATATATATATGTATATTCTTTTAATATTATTGGCCTATGCTTCACGTACAATCCTCTCCAAAAAGACAAAATAAAAAAATAAAAAAATCAGATGTCCAAAATCAAATGGACAACAAATGTATAACAATTTTATTAGAATATAAAATTAGTCATGCAACATATAAGCATCTTCTTCGTTTATTTTAAGAGAAATTATTCTGTGGGGACATTGAATCGTCCAGAGACGAATCAGAGCGCGTCATATCATCATGTATATAACGGTACATAGCCGCCGTATATTACAGAGAGGTGATATGACGCGCTTTGATTCACTCCCGGGCGATATCCGATGTCAGCAGAGAATAATTTTTATTATTTTAGAGTTTCAGAAAAAAAGAATTCCTCTAATCATAATTAATAATATTTATATAATTTGATTTTGTTCTTCCATCCGTTATCTGCGGCTCAAAACATTTCGATTATTCTTTGAAAATAAAATATTTTTATGATATCTCATTTGAAAATTCGTATCAGTACGAAAGCATTTTATTTTATTTTTCTATTTAATTAAATACTTTGCGGTTGGTTGTTTCCGGCCAGTGAGTTAAGGACGGGTGGTTGGAGACCGAGCTGAGCTTCATTAAATTGTACTTCTTGGAATTTACAGAACGTAGAAAGGTGACAAGCTGTGGGGTATAAATATAAATATTTATTTACAGTCGCCTTGGGAAGGAAACAAGAGGTCATTCCGAGAAGATGGTCAAAGATTGGACAAATGGCATTGGGGGGTTAAGTGCTCGACATTGTGTTGTTAAAACTTTTTTTTTATTATTAAAAAAACAAATTTATACTTCTATCCCTCTGGATTTAAATAAATGCTATATAATTAAAAATTTAATATTTATATTTTAGAAATTTTAATTATGCCACTAGTGATATATGCAAATAAAATTTTTATGGGTATTTGTTAGTCCTTAATTATCTTTATGCTTGATGGGAAGATTGCTGTTTTCGACCAACATATTTATTGTTAGAAGATTTTCCCGTTAGAATGAATATTGAAATTATACTTTTTGATGTAAAATGTTTTAATATGATGTCATTAACATCTATTTTTTAACTTATAAAAGTTATCATTAATAGAGAGAATATATGGTGATTAAAATTATTAATTATGACACAACCAATAAAAATATTTTCTAAGATTAAATATTAATAAATCATAAAGGTAAAAATAAGCCATTTATTATGATGTAATGAAGGTCTTATAAAAAATTTAATCAATATAGAATAATAAATTAGATTTTGTTTGAGACAAATTTCTTACTACTTTCTAAAATAGTTTCAAAATTCAAAATTTCATGAGATAAAAGCTTCCAACAATATTGACTCGGACAATTTTGATCATCTCTTTTAATTTTCTACATAAATGGGCTAATAATCCACCTCCTAGTGAGCAATGTGAGAATAATCATATGTCCTTTAATATTGAAGCTACTAAAGATGTAGTTCGCATATGTAAGAATCTCGCATGAGGAAGCATCATATCAAAAATAACATGTATATATGAATATGTCAAATTAGTTCAATCTCAATTAGCTCTACGTATGAATTTCTACTGAATATCAACCTATGTCATCTCAGTCGTGACATGCATCATTATGCTTTGTTATTGGCCCAATTAATATGTTGATGAACTATTTGAATCATTTGGGTGATCATACCAGATCTCTCTCTTTCTCACTAACTTCTTAATAGTCAAAGTACACAAAGAATTGAAAATACTCATAGTAAAATACATGTGAAAATAACAAGTATAACAACTAAATCAATAAAAAAAGACAAATAAACATACAAAATGTGAAATTCCTTAAGTAAAAAGAAGTTAAACTCTTAAACATCAAGGTGCATTTAGTTTAACGGTTGAAATTTCATTAAGATATAATGCAATTAAGCGTGCTCATCTCTGAGAAATTCTGGGATAGGTGACCTCAATGAAAGTTAAACCAACGAAACAAAATTATGAAAAACTTAAGCCAAAGTAGATAATATCATGATAGTTAAGAATTTGAGTTGTTACAAATAGTATCAAAGTAATACATCAATAGGAAGATGTGAACTAAGTGTTATACAAGACATAGTGGTACGCCACGGGAGCCACATGTTGAACCCCGTATAGGATAAAATGTTACAAGGCGGGAGTAGTCACTTGTACTTGCAAGCAAGGTTGTGAAAATCAGACCGGACAATGAACCAGAAGAGGGAGAGGTTCACGGTTCGACCGGTTGAATGGGAGTCGAACTGGATGACATAATAAATAATAATATTATTTACTATGTTTAAAAACAAAATTATATTAGTGCAAATTTAAAAAACAAAATTGGTTAAGGAGATGAACCAATAATATGAATGTACAATTTACTATTAAGCATAATTGAATTAATCTACTCCACACAATGATCTTAGAAAATTTATAATTTTCACTGCATATGACAATCAAATTCAAGCAATTAAGTAAATGTTAAAGCAAATAAATCTGAGCTATAAAGAGAATTTTGTGATTAAGCACCAACTGACCCCCATCCTAACATATTTCACATAGGTCTGATCAGTAGGATTCCATAATCAGACTTACAACTGCAAATCTTTACACCGTATATATTATGTTTTCATGTTTTATTATACTGATAAAGGTAAATTGTCTTAATTATTAATGTGTCCAAAAGCATTTCTCATACTATAATATTACTATAATCCCCCCATTGTTTAAGTTTCTTCTCAAGCTATGAAACCAAATAATTATAATTATCAAACACAATTAAAATGATGAAGATTTTTCTAAATTCTAACGTAGGTTTCATTTGGGGTGACTTTCTTATTAATTCTTAAAGCATTTTTTTAGTACAAAAATTAAAGAAAATCTTTCCAAACGACATCGTAGTTTGTGATGGAGGTTGCTAAAGCTGTAAAGGCTTGAGACATTGAGGAATATTACAGATAAAACGATTTCCAATGAGAGAAGAAATCTCATTACTTCAATTTACAAGAGATGATATGCTTAAAAGATACTTCTAATTAAATCTCCCAACTTTTTAGAGAATAATATCATTCTCCCCTTCAGAGCTCTCCCACCAACTTCTGCATGGCTTCCCATAGCTCATATCGCCATGTGGTAAACAGTGGCATGCGGTGTATGAATGCATGGGTGGGATTAGGATGGCTTAATTTTTTAATTAATTATTTTTCACGTGTATGGCACTGAATGCGAGCCATTAACTAAATCCTTAAACGGAGGTTAAGAAGAATAGTTTATCGAACTCCTAAATAACAATTTTTAAATGGTTAGATGTCTCTGAAAGTCAAGACATCTGTTAACATAGGAGAAAAGCCAATTAAGTATTTAGTCTCCGCTTAAAGCCAAACCACACGCCTCAGCCCATGTGATTAGCAGCACTAAACACATATTAAACTAATCAAATCTGACTATTTAAAGGTTGCTTTTAGCAAAATGAGTACTTGTAAAGCTTTAGTTGAGTAATTAATTAGTTTAAGAGGTCCTGAGCTGAGATTCTCTTCATCAAAACAACTAAGCATTCGAAAGTTCTTAATTGTTTGCTTGCTGAAGCAAAAAAACAGTAGGAGATTTGTATATTTTTGTGATGTTAAACTTTATAATTAAGTGTAATAATTCATTTTATTTAATAAATTATGGAAATTATCTTAAATGTTGATGTATAGATTAGGATTTCTTAATATCCTTTTAAATATATTAGAGTTTCTAAAATTTTGTTAAGTATAATGTATGTATTATTGAAATTATGTTGAATTAAAATGTTTTTTAGTTTTATTATGAATATGATATCATCTTAGACATACTTCATACACTTGTCATTGTTGATGGTAGCTTAGCTAGCTGAGTTATTTTTTATGTTATATTGAGTGATACAGTATAAAGATCATTTTGATGTATTTTGGTTGAGAGTTTTGGATATAAAGCTCCCAACCAAGAAGTTTGAAGTTTGAAGCTTGCGTGTGCGATATGTGCATGTGTTTGTCCTAATTGACTCAAAAGTCTCAAAAAACTGCTATTGTAGGCTTCGTTGGGACAACTTTCTTACTGCTTCTTAAAACAACTTTAAGAAGCAATAAGAAATCCATCCCAAATGAAGGCGTAATGTAGACATGATTCATTTTTTGTTTCTTCACAACAAGAGCTCAAATGTGTAGTAGAACAACTTTAATTATGACTAAAAAATAGAAAAAAAAAATCATAATATCCTAATAAAAATTAGGTCAAGATAAAAAAAAAATATAAACTATAGTAATAAAGGTTTTCTTAGGGATAAACTATAAAGTTTTTGTTTATATGTCTAAAATCAATAAAAATATGTGACCATGTGCTCAAAGGTGCAATATAATTCCTCTTTTGACGTCATTATATTCAGCATCTCAGAAAGAACCGACCAAAACGACAAATCACTAACTGAGAAGTTTGCCTTCATGCAATTCTATCTTCTTTCATCTCCTCTGCTTTTCGCTTCCAAAAAAAGAGAGGTGCTCACCTTTTTACATCAGCTTGTTGTGATATTATCTAAGAGGATAAGATCTTTATTATATTTTAAATAATGTAAATGATTTTTTTATATCTCTAATTCCAAAGTAATTTTGCAAATAATTTTTTTTTATTTAAGTGATTTACTGATTCATAAGTCCTATATAACTTTGTAACTTGAATCCTTAATTGAAAGTCTCTACCTTCATTTGAGACGATTTTTTTATTGATTCTTAAAATAATTTTTTGATAATAAATTAAGTAATAAAGCTATTTTAGGCTTCATTTGGGACTACCTTCCTAAAATGAGTTTTTAGTGCAAAAATTTCAATTTAAAGAAATTTTTGTACTAGAAAGCAAGAATAAAATAATTTTTTATTATTTTTTTACTAAAATTCTGTTTTAAGAAAAAATAAAAAGTCATCGCAAACAAAAACTTAATTTCAATTATTCAGAAAGATTCAGAATAAGTTGGTTTTAGTTATAAAAAGAATAGGCTGGGCAGCATTCAATTTCCTTTAAAAAAAAAAAAAAAACTCATTCCTTTGTTTGTTTGGTTAGTACAGCATTATTCTTTCTACTGCTTGACATTCCAAATAAATCTTAGCTGGTGCAATTAAAGCTTGAAGCCGCATGTGATTTGCTTTCCCTCGACAGTTCCACTTTTGGTTTCTTCTCTGTTTAATTGCAGTTAACTGTTTAGAAGCTCTTCTTCTACTGGCCCAGTTGCTGAAAGAAAAAATTATTTACAGCCTATTTTATAAAAGAAATTTTTTTTCCTATAAAAATATAGCCTTTCTCGCACATTTATTAATTTGAGATATTATATTCCTTGCTTCTTCCCCCCCCCCATCACTTCCCTAGCTCCATTCACTTCTATAAATGCACCTCTCCTTCCACATGGTTTCCTCACTTTTCTCCTTTCAACCTTTCCTGGGCAGGCTTTCATTTGAAAAGCCTCTGTAAGTATAGAATCTCCTTCCTTTTAGACAAAGTCCTGAAGCCAGCCTTTAACATTCTCGCCTTGTTCTTTTGCAGGGAAATGGAGTCTCATACTTTCATTATCATCTCTGTTCTTTCAATCCTCAGAGCTGTTCATGGAGGAGGAGAAGGATGGATAAATGCTCATGCCACCTTCTATGGCGGTGGAGATGCCTCTGGAACTATGGGTAAGTAAGATCAGATAAGAACAGATATCTCACTGATATCAAAAATGGATTCTGAAATGAGAAATTGCTGTAATTGCAGGAGGAGCTTGTGGCTATGGAAATCTGTACAGTCAGGGTTATGGGACTAATACTGCAGCTCTTAGCACTGCCTTGTTTAATAATGGACTGAGCTGTGGATCTTGCTATGAAATTGTGTGCGCTAATGACGGACAATGGTGTCTTTCTGGTTCTATAATTGTTACTGCAACCAATTTATGCCCACCAAACTTTGCTCTTCCGAATAATAATGGTGGTTGGTGTAATCCTCCATTGGAGCATTTTGATCTCTCTCAGCCTGTTTTTCAGCGTATTGCTCATTATAAAGCTGGAATTGTTCCTGTTCAGTATAGAAGGTAAAGATAAAAAATCTAATTTGTTAAACGTTAATGATTCGGCTTTCCTTTGGACGAATTTTTAACTGTTTTTGAAAGCAGTTTTCTTATATAAAAATTGAAAATTTAAAATTAAAATAAATTGCTAAACAACAAAATAAAGATGAAAAAGAGGAAAAGTAGGAAGAGGATGATGAATAAAAAAATTTTTGGCCTTGGATTACATGCAGGATCATTATCAGTTTCTCTACGGATCCTAAATTAACAAGAGTCTTATTCAATTTGTCAGAAATTCAAGAAAATTTCCGCAACTCATTTGTAGGAATTTGAAGAAGAAAAATAAAAATTATATAATGAAAATGAAAATTACAAAGAAATATTTTTTCTTAATTTGTTGAAAAATTAAAATTTTATTTCTTCACATGAGTCATAATCCCTTTTTTATATTTTTAATTTAAGTTTGATAGAAAATTATCAATAAAAAATATATGTATTTGCTATTTTCATAATTCTTAAGTAAATACAAATAAATTGAAACTAAATATCTAAAATAAAATTATAAAGAAAATACATTTACCGTTATTCTCTCTTAGCTACTGAAAGTCTTTTTATTCTCTCTTAGCTACTGAAAGTCTTTTTATTCTAACCAAATGTTGGGTTTGCTTAAATCGCAGGGTCCCCTGTGTTAAGAAAGGAGGTATCCGGTTCACCATCAACGGTCACTCCTACTTCAACCTTGTTCTCATCACCAACGTCGCCGGCGCCGGTGATGTGGTGGCTGTGTCCATTAAAGGTTCGAACACCGGTTGGCAGTCAATGAGCAGAAACTGGGGTCAAAACTGGCAGAGCAACAGCTATCTTAACAGTCAATCTTTATCTTTCAAAGTCACGACAAGCGACGGCCGGTGTGTTACCTCCATGAACGTTGCTCCTTCCTCCTGGAGCTTCGGCCAGACTTTCTCAGGTGGCCAGTTCTGAGAAGCCAATATTCATTATTCTATCTTACTCTGTCTCTCTAACTCTACCATTACTAATAGTCTCAAGGATTTTTGTGTCATGATGAAATTGCCGCTTTGAAATGGCAATCGATCTATGACCTTTATCTTACTAAGTTAAGTCCTTCTTGTTCTCTCCATCTTGCCTTATATATAGTGGCAGAGGAGGGCGCCACATTATAGAGTGGTGAAAGAAGTCATTTTTATTAGGTTTTGATTTTAATGGCGTGGTGGTGAGGATTGGAATGGCTGAGGTGAACTGTTTGTCACCCGCCCATGACATCGATCTACTTCTGTTGTATGTACTGGTTATTTGTAATGTAATATGCGTTTTCTGGGATGATTAATATATTAAATTCTTAAGAGCTTCAAGATATTTGGTGGTTTTTTTTGTCATATTTAGCAGCAGAGGTCTTAATTAAAAAAAAAAAAAGAGGAGTTGTAGAGGTCTTTCCCTGCTCCTTCAAGACTTTGGGCAATCTGATGTGAAAAGACAAGCCACAAATAACCTGATGTGAAAAGATCTTGTTTTTTTTTTTTTTGGAAAATTAGAGTCAAAGCCCATTCATTAACCAAAGAATGAACAAGGAAAAAAATTACAGATAAGAGAAAGAAAGCAAAGGAGCAAATTAATGATGCTTAGAAAAAAATTGAGCAAAGGCTCAAAAGAAACACCCCAACGACTGTTTCACAAAATTACATCAAGAAATATGTGAGAAAATGGAGAAACAAAAGCAAAATAAAAAAGCCAGGACTTAGGTTCAAAGAGTGATCAACATCAGATAAAATTGACACCCTTGGTTGCTCGAAGACCGACTAAAGAGAGACCAGGATGGATAAACATCATCGTCCATAGCATCAAAAGACCTATCTATAAAGACGAAATTAAGACCGATATTAGCGAATCGAAGGCAACACAATCCATAGACAAAATCCCATTCAAAACATAAACTTGTAACCTCTGGGTAGTGAACCACACCAACAGCAGCAATAAGCAAACATGTCAATGGTAACCAAGCCCACCACCATAAAAACATCCAATAAACCAAATAGGCAGCAACAGAAAGTCAATAAACCATCCACTACTTGAAAGCAAACCGACAACACAACGGAGCAACTAGCAAACACACTAAGAGAGTAAGAGGAGCCATTAAGCATATCTTTAAATTTTCTCATTCTTCAAGCTAGCAATTTTAAGACTAATAGCCTTAATGATAAAAATATGAGCAGTGGCTTTTCTACTGAATTTGTTTCCAAATTTTTTTGCATTCCTCTCCCTCCATAAGTGATAGACATAACACCAAAGCATAAGCTGGTAGAAGGAAGACTTGTCCGACATTGAAATATTCACATCACCAAAAAAATTAGCTATATGATATAAATTTGGGTGCAAAAGAAATGATTTTAGGCAAGGGATAAGATCATTGATAATAGAGTAAGTGAAATCACATTAAAAAATAGGTGTGATGAATTTTCAAGTTTAGCATAACATAAGCAGCATATAGGGTCCATTGAAATGTTCCTCTTGATCAACACATTAGAAGTTTTGGGCCCACCAACCCAGCTCAGCAAACCATAAATAGAAAATCGAGTGGCTACATGCCTATGCTAAACAATTATGTGCTAAGAAACCTCTCTCTCATCGAATAGAAATCCTGCAAGAATTCACCAAAACAACCAATCCTCTTATTTTTTCATAACATACATGCAACATCAATATGAATGGGAACATAGAGAATAATGCTAAGGATGGGTTCTTGAACAATCACTAGAATCTTCCACCCATTAGAATCCAAAATAACAGAGAGGTGAGAATCAGAAGAGAAAGCATTAATGACAGAAGAGTTATGTGGGAGTTTAGATAAGCACACCCCATTACACCATTGATCCCACACAAGAGAGATAGGAGAATTATCATTCACATTAAAGACAAAACTCCCTTTCACATTGCTAGCAGTATCACATATACTTTTTCACATAGGTGAAGCCAAGGATTGAGCAGGTTTCTAAGGAGAGAAATACTTGTGGGAGAACTAGGTAAGAAGAGGGGAATGATAATTATACATCATAGAAATAATAGAACAATTAAAGGCAAATCAAATGGAATTAATAGAAGGTTGCCCCAACCCCCAGCCTTTTTTAGGTTTGCAAGAGTTTTTCCAAGACATGAGATATAATTTCCTTGACATAGTGTCTCTAGAATATAAAAACTTAGCAGCAAGTTCATCAATTTGCTTACAACAACTCTTAAGTATAATACTATAATTGCACCTTAAATCCAATAGGCTATGGTGTTCCATATAGTGTATCATGAAAATTGTAATATTCTTGTAAAAGAAGGTAATTTTGCTTTCTAGTCGGAAAGTTTGTTAGCAATAACATCCAAGAGAGGTGAGAAATTAGAAAGATAGGCTTTCTTGATAGATATATGAATCCCTAGATAAGTGATTTTGGTTTGGTTATAAGGGATGTCGAGAACAGAACATATATCATTGGAGCGAGAGACGTTAGGCTGAATGATAAGGGAGCTTTTCTCCATATTGACAACAAGGCTCGAAGAGTCAGCAAACTTGTTAAGCACATTTTTCAAGGCTTGCTATTCCGGATAGACACATTCCCGAAGACCAACACATCATCGTCATATAAGAGATGTGATAGTCTAAAGTCTTTAATATTGATTGGCTCAAAAACAACCCCATCCACATAAGAGTCAAGAAGGTTGAAGAAAGCATCCATAGCAAAAAAAGAATAGATAGGGACTCAAGGGGCAACCTTGTCTAAGGCTAGCAGAGGAGTGAAAGAAACCTTCCAAAAGTCCCATCCACACAAATGGAAAAGTAGACATTCATAATGCAAGACTTGACCCACCCAATAAACTAGGTGGAATCCCTTTTTGAGCCATTCTTCCAAGAATAAATTCCCTAGAAACATAATCAAAGGCTTTCTTGATGTCAAGCTTTGCACACATATAATTGGCTCGATTGCACTTTTTAAAAAGTCCCAAATTTTCAGTAGCAAGAATCACATTGTCCATTGATATCCTCTTGTTAATATAGCTAACTTGGGAGGGATTAATAATGATAGGCATAATGTGCCTAAGCCTAGTGGCTAAATTTTTTGCAATAATCTTATAAAGGGTGTTACATAAAAAGATCGGCCTCAAATCAAAGATAGATCCAGCATGACGACATTTAGGAATTAAAGCAATGACAATAAGCTTAACACTTCTAGTGATCTACCCTTTTTGAAAGAAAGATTGAATAGCTTTGCAAAAATGGGGCCCAATTATATGCCAACAAGACTTAAAGAAGTAAAATTTAACTCATCCGGCCATGGAGAGGAATTAGAAGAGCCAGAAAAAACAGCCATTTTAATTTCACCAGTAGTAATCGGGTCAAAGAGGATAGATAAGAGATGAGAAAGAACATTGGAGCCAAAGGCGAAGAAATTAAGATCCAAGGTTAAGATAGCATGAGGATTGTCGATGTTTTGGAAATGTTGAATTACATATCAGAATTTCTGCAAAAAGTTAATTAATATTTAGTTAACAAAGATCATAGATAAGATAAGACTCCAATATATGATTTCTGCCTTAAGAAATGAGAAGCGCATAATTTCATTCAGTGCTCATTAATTTGATAACAGAAAATTTGCAACAGATTACACCTTAATTCGGATGTTAAAACTTGAACTGATAGTTTCAACTTTGATGGCATAGATGCTTTTGCAGATGTGTTATAGCTTTGTCATAAACCTTTTGATCTAAGAGTTTCATCTGTTGTGAGAATTTGAAGGGAAATGAAAAATGTCTGTAAAAATTAGGGTGGATGCACCTTTTTAAGCGAGAGGAAGATGAATTTACATGCCTGGTGGAGGATTAATTATTCTGTGTCGACGCCGAACGCCGTCCAGAGACCAACCAGAATGCACCACATCATCACCCCTTCGCTCGATACGCTACGTGGCTGCACCTGATTGGTCTTCAGACATAGAGCCAGGAGAATAAGATCAGGAACTAAGAAAATTCAGGTAAATTCTTTGACAGTGTAGGGGAGACAATTAAGTGTCGTCTCCAGGATGCTTTTCACCAGTTAACTAAAATTCTTTTAGTGATTGATAATTACTGTACTGATAGCCTATTAAGACGAGAAAATATTAGGTGAGAGCATCATATTTGTGGAATTATTATAAATAACTTGAGCAACACTGAAATAATGACCACATTTCTATACAGAACTAGATCTAACATCTGTCTTTTAATATTCAGAACCATTGTGGTTTCCGTTGCCCCCTTGCCATATAAAATATAGAAGTTTTCACCTTCTCTTTGCATCTTTATCAACATGGGCTCCCATTTTTCATCACTTTTACTTAATTCCTTCACTGAATATCATGTAGATTTTCCCTTTTCAATTGATGTTTAATTATGAGTTAAATATGTATAAGTGAAGCTCAAGAATCGTTCTATTAGCTCTCATTTGTCGGCAGTTTTCTATTATTCTCTCAATCTTATGTAAGGTTTCAAATTTCTCTTGATTTGGTTTGTAAGTTCTGTGGGAGCTAATATGGCAAAATTGGTTTTGAAATATAGCTTTATACTGATAATACATTTAGCAGAATTCCTATACAGATAAATAGCTAGATATTGGATCTATGACTGATATGTGTAGATTTTTGTGAGTAATTTTTAAGATTGATGAAAGGTTTAGAAGAATTTGTAGATATGTATGTAGATTAATATATTTACAGTATTCTACAATCTTGATATAGGTTCTAGAATCATTTTCTTGTTTGCTATGTTCTTTAACTTTGGTCAATGACTTTAGTATTTTTTTTCTAATTCATTGCTATGGATCAATGGCTTGCATGTTCTTTCTATAATTCAAAAATGAGATATTTTTGATATTTAAATCAGTAAATTGACAACAAGTTGAAAAACTAACTTTGGAATATGAGGAGATTCTCACATGGTCGCTTTCATTGCCTCAGCACAATGTGTATTTTATTGCTTTATCAATGCTACAAACTCTACAATCAGATCTGCATCTGCTATGGAAGAAAGCAAGCTGTATAAAAGATCTAACAAACATATGAAATGAAAATGTAGTTTCCATACATAAATTGCATTGTCGTGTCTATAAAATTTTAAATTTTCATTTCTATGTGAGCCATAGTTTTATAAACAAATTAAGAAAATTATGTCATGAATAGTTAGAACTATGATATTAGGCTTGATATATAGAGGGCTGGATAAGTTTAAGGTTTCGTTTGGGACAGCTTTCTTATTGCTTCTTAAAACAGTAAGAAAGTCATCCCAAACGAAGCCTAAGATTCTAATTTTGTTATGTCGCATAGAAAATATTTGTTCAAGCCAAA